TATATATATATATATATATATATATATATATATATATATATATATACAAAGTACATAAATGCTTATTGTCTGCCACCACAGGCTGTATCACAAGGTGGTATGGGAATTGCACCAGTCAGAGCCAGAAACCACTTCAGAGGGTGGTGCAAACAGCAGAGGACATAACTGGTAGCAGTCTCCACACCATCCAGGACATCTACCACATCTGATGTCTGTGTAAAGCACGCAACATCATTAAGGACCACACCCACCCAGCACAAGGACTCTTCCGTCTACCACCCTCATGCAGACAATACAGAAGTCTGTCATCACACTTGAAATGACTCAAAGACAGTTACTAGCCACAAGCTGTCAGATTATTAAACTGTTGATAATAATACTGAACTACTGACATTGCACCAAGCCACATCTGTAGCACCTAATGTGTTTATTGCTGCTGCACTATGTGGCTGTATCATGTATGTCACTATCACAATTCATGTCAATGTCACTCAATACCTGTGCAATAATCTGTCACATAAACTGTGTAGTTTATGTTAGTTATGTGCAATATTTATCATGTACATTAAGCTTATGCCTGGAAATACTTGTTCATAAAAATTCATCCTACTTGTACCATTATATTCTACCATCTTGTTGTTTACTATAGTTCTTTTGGACCTTGTGAATATATCTATATACCTATATATCTATAGATATATATATATATAGTTATGACTTTTTGTGACTTTATTTTGTACCCTTAAGTCATATTTGAGCATTTCTGGTTTGTTTGTTTTTCTGTTTTTAGCGAGTCAAATCGGTTCTTCCCATCCTGAACATTTCATTGCAATGTTGACCTTGTGTTCACTTGCATATGACAAATAAACAACATAACCTTCAATGCCAGAGTTTTAAACCAACATAATTTTCTGATGGGAATGGATGCAGTTAAAGCTGTTTTGATCAAATATTGTAAATGGCATTATGCAATATTAAAATACTTCATCTGACCTGTTAGCAGTTGAACTATGTATTGAAGATGACTCTCAGCTACTGCCACACCATACTTTAACTCAACATCTGTAAAACTGACTGAGGTATGGACATTTCTGAGAACACAATCAATAGATCATAGACATCCATGCATAGATTTATTTGATAGTAAAAACATGATAATATGAAAAATGATAAATGTTCCACAACTTTCACTGATATGTTTCAACTTACGAAAGGACAGCAAAAGTAACCAGAGTGATGGCGAGGCAGAAGATGGAGATGGAGCACCCAATGTAACCAATGGTTGAGAGCGCCATCTTGTGGTCAGTAGTGAGCTGTGGCAGGAGACAAACCACTGTTAGTACTTCATTTGATTTAAATAGTACACACACTTTAGATACATGTAATATTAATGCAGCCTGGCTCACTGTGTCTTTGCATCAGACAGAAACCAAAACAAGTCCATGGCGTTCACAGTGATCATCAACAACTTCATCAAAGAAGCCAATTTCCAAATTTGTGCACAGGTTTTGGTATTACTATGTGCCTCAGTGGGGATTTTGAATTATTTAAATTCATACTAACTGCATAAATGATGTACAAAGTTCAAGAAGCCCAAATATCATTGTGGTAATTATGCTTTCTATCTGCACACATCTGTGACGTTTGGTTTTATGCATGAGTGTTGTTTTGGAGTTCAGGCTATTTTCAGAGTTTGGTTTTGATTCTCTATGAACTGTCTACCCATGTGCCCTGTTATTATGAGGGCAGAAGACTCTCCGGCTTCAAGAAAAGGGAAACATGGGATGTTCCCCCCCAGCTGGCGGGGGAGATGAGGCAGCCCACTAATTAGAGGCCGGCTGAGGGAATGTATAGTATCAGATAGACTGGTGTGCCTTTAAATACAGATTTACCTCACTTAGCTGCAAAAACAAGTCAACGTTTCTATTTTTATGAAGCTATTGTGGATGCTAGCCGTACTCTCACAGCACGCATTTTCTGCGGCAAAGCGACGGCATTTTATTCAGGCGAGGATTCTAAAATAATCTAATACTGAGGAGGACGGCAGTCAGGGAGAAGATAAAAGTAGCTGAGATCCCAGATGTAAAAGAGTGATTTTCTGCTGATGTTTTTAGAAGGACAAGTCTGAGGCTTTGATCTTTTGAAAATGACACATGCTAAGCCCCCAAACAACTGCACATCTTAAAATTATTTAAAGTCCATCAATCCACAGCAAGAACAGTTATTCACAAGTGGAAATGAATCAAGAATGTTGCTCCTCAGGAGTGAAGATTTTTCACGTCAGTGTCAAACTATGTAATAATCATAGAAATAGCTAAAACTCAAAATATATATCTCAAAATGTCCTGGCCTTAGTGCAAGTTAAAGGTCAAGGTTCATGTCAGTGCAGTTAGAAAATACTGATCAAGCATGGCAGGTTTGGAGGATGACAGGTTTGTAACACTGCGTGTAAAGAAACAACAAGATGTCTTCAGCATCATCTCTGAATTTGTCCAAGATCAAACAGATGATGTTATCATGAACACCTGAAATCAGTAAAGTCAGGTGGTGGAAGGTTGATGATTGGGGCTTGTTCTGCAGCCATAGAACCTCAACAACTTGCAGTCATTCAGTCAGTCGTGAAAGTACAGAGTCAAATTTAAAGCTATCTGAAAGGTGAAGCCTGGGTGAAACTGAGCTGTGCAAGAGGACCTTGATCCTAATCATATCACCAATTAACACCAGGAAGGCTAAACAAAAAACAGTAAAGGTTTTACAGTGAGTTTAGTCAAAGTTCAGACTTTAGATGAATTGAGCTAATCTTAATCCTGGATGAACCTAAGCATCATTTTTATTTGACTGTCGGAGTCAGGACATATTACAGCAGGGCTATTCAACTAACCTGCTCAGGGGGCCGCAGTTTCTGAAAGCCAGCAGCTCAGGTCATTATGTAAATAAACTAAGTATTACAATGATCTTTTATCTTTTAAATGTGTTTATTTTGCAGCATTGAATCATAAATGCAATAAACAGAGCCCAAAAGTGTAATTCAACGAAATTACATTTCAAGATTTATTTCCTTGCAATAAAGAAGTGATGTTCTCATGTGAAACAATATTAAAAACAAAAAATGACTCATTATATCTCCTATGTTACATAAATATTATTTTGCTTTTATTGACAAATCTTTACGCTTTTCAAAATAAAATAAAAGAATTGACAGTTTTTGATGTTCCCTGAATGACCGACATGTTGCTGTTCCAGGTGGGTCCATTAAGAACCAGTTCTCATTACAAAAAAATGGCTGCACAGACCAGTTCTTCCTCAAACTGTTCATAAATCGCAGGTGAAGTTTCCACGTCCCGCTCAGGTGTGAGTTTTGAGCAGAACCAAAAGAGGCGGAGCAGAACTCAGCTGGGCTGAAAGTGAGCACGATGCGTGCCCAACTTCTCCTTCGTGTTATTTACTAAAATTAATTAAATCAATCCATCTTATTTGTGGTTAATTATTTTTTAAGCTAACTACAAAGCTGCTGTGCGTCATCATCAATATTCCCCCAGTAATAAACCAGTTTGTTGTTTAATCTGCCACGTGGGTGATCACACATTGATATGATCTGTTTATCAGAACTCCCCGCAGAGCGGGAGAGAGAGAAAGAGCATGCAGCCTTTTGACTCGTGTTTCTGTTCATTTAACTCTTATTAAACATTAACACCAAAACACAGATATTTATAGGCCTTAAATTAGAGGCAACACAAAGATGTGTCTCTGTGTAACTTTATTTTCTTTCCCCCAAACCCACAAAGTTCTCTCTGTGAGCAAGTCCCAGAGAAACTGTGAACTGCAAAGGATGCTGGGTAGCCTTGTGGAAATTATATGTGCAATGTTTGTGACTGTTTACGATTTTTACGACTGTTTATAATGTTTCTGACTGTTTACAGTGTTTTTGACTGTTTACAATGTTTTTGACCGTTTACAATGTTTCTGACTGTTTACAATGTTTTTGATGGTTTACAATGTTTTTGACTGTTTATGATGTTTCTGACTGTTTACAATGTTTTTGACTGTTTCCAATGTTTCTGACTGTTTACAATGTTTCTGACAGTTTACAATGTTTCTGACTGTTTCTGATGTTTCCGACTGTTTATTATGTTTCTAACTGTTTACAATGTTTCTGACTGTTTATGATTTTTCTGATTGTTTACGATATTTCAGATAGTTTATAATGTTTCTGACTGTTTCTGATGTTTCTGATTGTTAACTCTTTCTGACTGTTTACAATGTTTCTGACAGTTTACAATGTTTCTGACTGTTTGTGATGTTTCTGACTGTTTACGATGTTTAAATGTTTATGATGTTTCTGACTGTTTACAATGCTTCTGACTGTTTCTGATGTTTCTGACTGTTTCTGATGTTTCTAACAGTTTACAATGTTTCTGACTGTTTATGATGTTTCTGGCTGTTAACTAT